CCCTTAGGTGTTTATGTAAGTGCTAAGGGTGTGGATATTTATAAGTTGATTAAATTTTGTATAGCTACAGTAGTTCACAGCTGATATCACTCTATGAAATAACTACTCTACTGTTTTGTCTTCTGTATTGCTGTATTTCAGCCTAAATCGACTGTCATTGGATTAATCAAGGAAATGATTGCAAAATTTGAGGAAGAACCCCCATTGTATTCACTGTCATCTTCTGATGCAGCCAGGCAGGCAGAACTTCTCTCCTACATTGCAAAGATTACTGAAGGTATGGATGTTTCCATGAACTTGTTTCTAATGCTCTTATAAAACAGATTTATTTATTGTTATTACTTGATATCACAATGAAGACTACATGATTTTAATACCTGAATTTTTGGTGTTTGCATGTCTGCAGTGTTTGGTGCTTTCTCTGCGTAATCAGAAGCATCTCTTTTTGAACAGAGAGGTCTTTAATGAGGAAGCAGCTCATTGTGGATGTTTGCATTTAAGCCTGCTGAAAAGTGCTTGTTACTACTCCTTTGTTGGAAGTTATTGCAACAAAACTCAGTGTGAGATCCTGTGGAAAGGAGATGTGATTTCATTCTGAACAAGCTGATCTTGCTCAACCATAATCATGCCACCTCTCAGATCTCATTCACTCACACTCTCACCCCCACAGCCACAAGCCCTGAGACCTGTCTGACCACAATCACTGCTGTGCAACACTGAGAACAGGGAGTGATGCCTGTTGAGTCCATTTCTTGTGTCTTGGGTCCTTCTTGTTTGGTGGTGACAAGCTGATTTTGGACTTGTCTTTTATACCCTTCAGGAGTGGATGCCATTTGGCATTTTGCCTCGTTACTCTATCTCACCCATTGTAAGTCTTGGGCAAAATTCCTGAGTTTCACAGTTCTCATGTTTTCCTTCTCTGGGTATTTTATGGCTCCAGTCCTGTTGTTCTTCATCCTGATACATTTTATTCAGGTCAGTCTTTTCTTCCTTCATTTAGAGAAATCACAGATGGTAATCTGTGGCAACTTGTGCAAACTTTTCCCTTTGACCCTCTTCTGCTGTTTCTCCTGGGAACTGTATGCACAAACTGCCTGTGAGCACACATATGATTTGCACATGATACACATTTCTAGGCAATTTATCTTAATGTTTCTCTTACAAATCTCCCTGCATTCAGAGTTGTGTTACCAGTAGCATTGGCTAAACAACCTCAGCTTGTTGTATTTTAATCAAATTCCACTTTGCATGTCTTTTCAAGATAGGAAATCTTCTACAAATTTTATGATCATGGTATGTTTTCACACCTGTGACAGTAGCAAAGAAAGTGTGATTTGTGTGGTATTCGTGTGTAGCTTCATGCTATTGTTACGCTCAGATTTTTCTACTTAGTGAAAAAATATTCCTATCTAGAGAGGCATATTTGTGTTTTACACCTTGCAATTTGTGGTGGATTTTCTGTGGTCAGGCTTGACTGCTATTTTGAAAAAGTTTACGCAATTTGATTTTACTCTTGCACAGTCATGATCCTTTATGAAGCAGCAATACTTGGATTGTTACAGTGTGGACCAGCACCTAAGTCTGTGGTTTTATTGCAATCGTAGGAGAGAGCGACAAGAAATCAAGGGGTAAAACTGAAGGCGAAAATGAAGAATGCTTTAACAAAATTACAGTTGTTGGAGCTGGAGATCTTGGCATTGCATGTGTGCTGGCAGTTGCAGCAAAGGTACATGACTACGGACCTGATTAACAGAGAGGCTTCCAGTCTAGTGCTTGGTGTCTGACATTTAGAAATGCCTCAGCAGTTTTAACAGCCATGTCACAGGTTATGTTTTTTGCCCTTTCAGTTAACTTAAGGACACACAGAAGTGTTCGTTTCTGCCTTGGTTTCTGAGTTTTTTTAATTGAAAGAGTTGAATATTGAATTCACTTACTTTGAAAATCCTTGGCTAAAGTATTCTTGCCTGAGTGGTAGCCTCTTACAATTGGGATCCCCTAGTTACCTGGAAAAGGACAGTCTGTAGATGGTCTGTACTTCATTATGGCTTTGTGCGTAGAGACAACAGTAACATCAACATTTATAACTCCCCAGAGATAGTTCTGTGGGTTTTTGTTTGTTTTGTAATGTGCAATTTTCCAACTAGACTCCCTAAACTAAATTCTTTTTCTTGTGATTTGGCAGTAATTTTGGCCAGTAATTTTGTTTGGTTTGCACAGAGTACAAAAAATGCTAGAATTGGAGGAATTTGGGGGTTTATTCCTCACTCCCACAAGAAGTTTTTGTTTGTTTTATTGCTGATCTGCATTATTTTTATTCACAGGGTGTTGCAAGCAAAGTGGTTCTTCTGGACCTCTCTGAAGGTGCAGCAAAAGGAGGGACTATGGACTTGGAGATCTTTGCACTGCCAAATGTGGAGATCAGCAGAGGTATTAGATGTTGTTTCTGGAATGGGAGTGAGAACTGTACTGTATGTGCTTGTGCTGGGACACCTGGGGAGGTATAGAGGCATACAGGCTGTCTTTTTTAAAAGATGTATTCTTCTTTTCACAGCTTCTTGCTTTTGTATGTCTTTTTGGGTAAAACTGGGATGGGAAAGCTCAGCAAAGCTTGAAAGCTTTTGTTTCAGGCTTTTTTCTTTCTGTTTATAGAGGAAGAGGTACGTGAGTGTCCCAGTCTGATAAGATTTGGGACTGTTTGATCGATTCTCCCAATGTGAATTAAGGCACAAATGAGGTCAAAATACCATTAGGGAGTGAGACTTTTTATTTTTTACTCAAGGGGAAGAGAGAAGGGGAGATAGGAGAGCTAGAAACAGAAAAGGGGGGGAAGCAAGCAAGATTTGGGATGGCGCAGCAGAGATAGTCACCACCATGGAATCCAGTGGCATTCTGAGGATCGGTAGTCACGCAGAGTGGCGTTCCAAGGATCCATGGTCATCTTTTCTCCAGTGGTAGGTATCTGCCATGCTCTGGATGCTGGTCCTTTTTTCAGGGCTCTGCCAAGGCACTGATTGGTCAGTTTCCCTGGAGTTGAGCAATTCCCAGCCTCGTGATGTTTGCATCTGGAAGTGATGTCAGCTGGAGGGTGTGGAGGTGGTGCCTCATTATCTCTGGAGACACCCTGTGACTCAACAAACCTTGATGTAAACAGTCCAGGGGTCGCTGTTTTCAGTCTCCTACACCAAGTCATCAAAGCCAAGCAATGTTGAAACAAACATTTCCTGAAGGTCCCTTACAGTGAGGTAGAGGTGTTTCCTCAGGGGGCTGTGCTGCCCTTCAGAGGGACATCAACAGGTTGGAGAGATGGGTGGAGCAGAACCAACTGAGATTCAACAAGGGCAAGTGCAGGTCCTGCACCTGTGGAGGAATAACCCCAAGCACCAGTACAGGTTGGGCACTGACCTGCTGGAGAGCAGCTCTGTGGAGAAGTACCTGAGTGACCTGGTGGACAACAGGCTGTCCATGAGTCTGTAGTATGTCCTTGTGGCTAAGAAGGCCAATGGAATCCTGGGATGCCTTAAGAAGAGCATTGACAGCAGGTCAAGGGAGATGAACCTGCCTCTCTACTCAGCCTTTGTGAGTCCACACCTGGAGTATTATGTGCAGTTCTGGGCTCCTCAGGACAAGAGGGACATGGAGCTCCTGAAGCAGGTCCAGTGGAGGGCAATGAAGATGATGAAGGGACTGGAGCATCTCACTGATGGGGAAAGGCTGAAGGAGTTGGGCCTGTTCAGTCTCGAGAAGAGATGACTGAGAGGGACCTCACCAAAGTATTCAAGTACATGAATGGAAAGTGCCAAGAGGAGGGAGCCAGACCCTTCTGACTTGTGGAGTAGGTCAGACAGAGGTAACAGCAAAAAGTGATGCACAGGAAGTTCCAACTGAACATGAGGAAGAACTTTCCTGTGCAGTCAGTGAGCACTGAACAGGCTGCTCAGAGAGGTCGTGGATTCTCCCTCATTGGAGGTATGGACCCAGTCCTGAGCCATATGCTCTAGGATGGCCTTGCTGGAGTAGGGAGGTTGGACCAGATGACCCATTGTGGTCCCTTCCAACCTAACTGATCCTGTGATTCCATGACTCTGTAATTCCAGGGTAAGAAGCTACTGCTGAAAGTGGACTCGTGCAGAAACACAGAGAATCCAAGCTAGTACTGCAGTGTCATAGGCAGAGAGAGGGAAGGAAGGTGGAAAAATCCATATCTGTTAAGGAATTAGAGATTGCTGTGAGAGCAGTGTTCAAAAGGCTGATAAATAAAGGTATATTTCGAAGTGCTGCTTTCCTAGGTTAATGTTTATTAAACATGTAGATGGTCAATTGTTAGTTCTTAATCACTATCACTGCATATTCAGATAGTGAGTTCTTAGTAATCTTGTCCTCATCTAGCTGCAACTGTAGAATTGAACAGATGTGATGCTATGTCTGCTTAATTAGTGCTGATAGCTACAATCTATGATGGTCTTGGTCACAAAGGTTGAGGCAATGCAGCTCAGAAGCTTTTCCACAGGGGAAGCTGGAACTGAATTGAGCAACTTCCCTATTCTTCCTTGTTTGTGTGTCATGTTTTCATGTCCCTTGCATCCTCTGTAAGATGAAATGTGGGGCTTTCCTATGCTTCTGAAGTAATTTATCTTATTTTGGGTACAAGGACTTGTTCTGATTTCACCAGGCATCTTAGCTGCTTATTCTGCAGCTGACATTGCCTGCTGTGCATTCTTTGATCTTATCTTGCAGGTTTTACTGCTAGCACACTATTTTTCCTGCACCCTGGTTGTGCAACTGTACCACAAACTTGTTTGTGCTTTTGTGGTTGCCTGTCATATGTTTACATTTAGTTGTGGTACATTTAGCTTGTGTGTTGTTGCTGGCTGTGCTGTTAGTAGTGTTCAGCATTAAAGAGCTGCTTATACACTGTCACCTGCTATTTTAGTATGCTTAGATCTAGGTTTGGGGCAAGCTGGTATTAATTGTCTCCTGCTTAGTATGCTTCTAGTTTGTCAGTGCGTTAGGCCTCTGCTTTGGCTTCAGCTGGATCCAGAAGTGATGTGACAGTTAAATTACCTTGTTTCTGTGTCCAAGCTGATCATCTGTGTGGTACTCAGATACTCAGAATTTCAAGGCAGCTTTGACTTATAAATTCCTGCAGCAAACATGGATGTGTTTTCCCTCGGGCTAATAAATACACATCTTTTACTTGAGTTAATTTGCTTTTGGAATGCTTTTTATGGTTGTCTACATGTCCTTGATTGAGGTCTAAGATAAAAATTTCTAGAAGGAACCTCAGATAAAGGAGTAAAAGTATTTCCACTTTAACAATTGGAATGAAAATGAAGGACTCAAGAAAACTTGGAAAAGTTTGTGGCAACACTGTCTAGGTGTTTTCTGGCTCTACTCTGTAACCTTGGACAAATTGCAGTCTGCCTTCTGTTTGGTAACTATACAAGAAAGTAGTTCTGCAGGAGAGCTGTGTTGTACAGGTGCTGTGAAAGTGACCCAAATCCCACACTGGGGGATATGAGGGGAGACAGGAGTTGAGGAATCTCTAATTAAGGTGGATGCTGCAGTTCACCCTATAGAACAGCTCTTTGTTTTGCATTCAAAACTCAACAGAATGACACAAATTTTAAAAACATGTTTTATTTCTATTTTCAGACTTCTCTGCTTCAGCTGATTCAAAAGTTGTGGTACTTACAGCGAATTTTCTGGGTAATGCTCAGACCTACCTTGATGTCATACAAAGCAATGTGGATTTGTTCAGAGGAATTATTCCAGCAATATCACACTACAGTCAGAATGCTGTTCTCCTTGTTGCTTCTCATCCAGGTATGTTGGCACTTCACATAATGTTCTGTCCCTCACCTGCCTCTATCTTTGGCCTGTTTTAAAAACATGTTACTGGTGAATTACACCTGCTTAGTCAAAAATTCTTGCTACTCTGAAAGATGTTTTCCTTTTCAGCTTTGAGCAGGCCACTCTTTGAGGGTTTTTTTCTTTACTGTTGCCAAGATAAAAGGAAATAGTATACTTTGTTTTGTATACAAGGTATGTATTTCTGTATGTTTCTGTATCTAGTTGCAACCTGACTATCTACAACATTCATTGTCTGTTGTCTTGTCAGTTGTAAGTTTTGTGTACATTTCTCCTGTGCAGGAAGTCATTGTCTGTTGTCTTGTCAGTTGTAACTTTTGTGTACATTTCTCCTGTGCAGGAGAATTCTTCAATTGATGCTTGTGGGTTATGTACCGTATGATCACACTCACAGGCTACTCATATACAAAGTATAGTGTTGATAGTAAATATTACAGCTATGTTTAGGTAGAAGCTTTGAATCTGTTGCATTGGGTCAGTGATACCGTGAACTAATACCAGCAAAAATCACTACTTACAAAGTAAAGTAGTCAGTGTGAGCCTCTGCCCTGTAAATGCATTGAAGACAGCCCTTGCCTGTTCCTCAAGTTCTTCTTACCCTTCCTATCATTTAGAGCGGTGGAGATGGAGAGTAGATGTTTGCCAGATTAAAAGAAATTAAACACTGGCTGAATCAGAGACAGGTTGGAAGGGACCACAATGGGTCATCTGGTCCAACCTCCCTGCTCAGGCAGGGCCACTGCAGAGCACATGGCTCAGGATTGCATCCAGATGGTTCTTGAATATCTCCCATGAGGGACAATCCATGACCTCTCTGGGCAATGTGTTCAGTGCTCAGTGACAGCACAGGAAAGAAGTTCTTCCTCATATTCAGGTGGAACTTCCTGCGCATCAGTTTTTGCTGTTACCTGTTGTTTTATTGGTTTCCACAAATTAAATTTCTAAATTAAATTTAGAATTCTGAATTAAATTTAGAAGCCTGTGAGATTTTTGGTAGAGGTCACTCATTCTGAAGTTTTGCTTTTCTTCAGACTTTATTGGGCTGTGAATTTTCTTCACCTCCTCTCCACCTGACTTGGTGTTTTAGGTTGAAATAAACTACCAATACATTCTTACATGCTTTGTGCCTTTTCTAAGGTCCAAAGCTTTTTGTAGTTGTGATTCATAGTTTGCAGTTGTGTTGAATTTTGAGTGGTCTTTCATTGGCAACATACTTTCTCTTTTTTCCCATTTAGTTGAAGTAATGACATATGTGTCATGGAAGCTGAGTGCATTTCCCAAAAGCAGAGTAATTGGAGTAGGTGCCAATCTCGATACAGAGAGATTCCAGTACATCCTGACACATCTTTTGAAAGCAGAGGTGCTGGCCAAAGATGCCTGCATTATTGGTGAGCAAGGGGAAGACAAAGGTAAAGTGATACTTTATTATAACTATGAGTGTATAATGTCCTGGCAGTGCTTAAGTAATTGAATAATGAAGGAACAATTGAGAAAAGTAATGAATCTAATGAGAAAAGTAGTAAGAAGGGTGGTAAATTTCCATAATAATGGTTCGAAGTTTTGGGGTGTACCAGTCTGTAGATGTGAAGTGGTAGCAAAAGTATTTGACATTTGTCACAGTGAAAAAAAAAACCCAACAAACCAAACGTAGTCATAGAATCATCAAGGTTGAAGGAGGCCTCTAAGATCATCAAGTTCAACCCTGAACCAGCCACTGTGTTCTAACCCCTAAACCATATCCTCCAGTGTTGGATCCAGATGCCTCTTAAATACTTCCAGGGATGGTGACTCCACCCCCTCCCTGGGCAACCTATTCCAGTGCCTGAACACCCTAACAGGGAAAACATTTTTCCTAACATCTAATCTGACTCTCCCCTGTCTCAGTTCATGGCCATTCCCTCTAGTCCTCTCCCTGCAGCCATGGCAGGAGAGACCATCCCCCATCTCTCTACAACCCCTGTCAGGTAGTTGTAGAGAGCCATGAAGTCACCCCTCAAGATGAAACAAACCCAATTCCCTCAGACCTTCCTCTTCTAGGTCTTTTCTGAGCATCATTGCCCTTGGCTGGACTCATACCAGGGCCTCAATGTCCTTTTTAAAGTGAGGGGCCCAAAACTGAACACAGCACTCAGGGGTGACCTCACCAGTGCTGAGTACAGGTGGGTGATCACTGCCCTAGTCCTGCTGGTCACACTATTCTTAATCAAGGCCAAGATGCCATTGGCCTTCTTGGCCACCTGTGCACTCTGTTGGCTCATATTGAGCCACTGTCACCAGCACTTCCTAGTCCCTTTCTGTTGAACAAAATACGTAGAAAAGACAACATCAAATGCTTTTTTTTTTGATATAACGATACAGGTTAGAAGTATTGAAAGAGGAAGGAAATATGGTATAATATATGGTAGGTTACTGCTACTGTAAGAATTATTACATATTGATTCATTGTACAGCAAGTGTCTCTGGCCAGGTGCTACTATAGACTTTATGTCATCAGTCAAGGCAATATTAGAAGGTTGTCATCTGCATTTGGGTTGTTGTGGGGGACGGAAAGTTTGGAAAGTTTGAATTTCTATTTTTCTTCTCCTCACCTTATCTGGTGCCTATTTTAGTCACTGTTTAGACGTGCATTTAAACATTGGTTGTTTCTATTTAGTGCCATCATGGACCAGTTGTAATGTAGTTGCAAATCAAACAGAGGCAATAGCTGCTCGAAACTCAAGGGAAAAGGTAGCTAACAGGTAATGCCATTTTAACCCTTTTTTTCCTTCATGTTTGATGTTTGCAGAGTTTTTTCTTCAGCTCTTCATGAAGTGGGGGTAGTTTGTTCTAAAATGTTCATACATTGAGTTTATAGGAAATTGTAGGTGGTGTTGTCATTCACTTTTATGGGTGTGTATATGGCCACTGTTTTTTCTCAGGTTCTTCATAACATTATTCCTGTGGCAATCTAAGAAGACACCAGAATATGCAGTAGAATATCAGAGTTGCCACTTGGATTGTGTGTTTAAAAGAAGGCAACAGATAAGCCTTCTGGCACACTTTTCTCAGAGCTTGGGTTGGAAGCATTTGCTTCAAAGCAAAGCACAAGTTTGGATGAATTTACCTGTTTAATTAGCCACATACCAGTTACAGCTCTTCATAGAAAAGAGAATCATTACTAGTGTGGGTAAAAGGTATTGTAAAGAAATTCTCTAAAGCAATTCTCTATTCTGTTGTTTTCAAAAACAGAAAATCATGTTTTTATAGTACACTTTACCTGACACAGTACATTCAATCTGTCTTTTGAGTCTTACATGTAAACCAAAGTAGGAATAATTAAAACCTAAGCATCATGTTTTTCTCCTTTTCCTGGTTTCTGTATAGAGCTATGGAAGTTCTAAAGGGAAAAGGTCAGAGATCTTGGTCTGTTGGGCTCTCGGTTGCTGATTTGACTGACAGCATACTGAAAGATAAAAGAAAGGTTCATTCTATATCCACTTTGGCAAAGGTAAACATGTTATTAATACCTTTTATATATATAATTACCTGGTTCTGTAATGAGATCATTTATATTAGATGTGACCATTAATTTTAGGAGCACAGACATCTCACAGTGTTCTGCAGTAGCTCTACTTCCATTACTTTCTTCCAACAAATTTCAAGTCTAGCCTAAAAATGAGCAAAAATCAATTATTGCTTAAATCTGAAACCAATATTAAAAGTGGATTATTACCCCCAAAATACAAGTCCAGAGGGAAAATACATTCAAGGTTGCTGACCAGCACCCCTGGAATAGCTGGATTTGGCAAACGAAGAGAAATGTGTGAGTTGCAGTTCCCAAGTACTCAGTATTGAATGTAGATTTTTCAAGAGGCCTAAAGAGTTCAGTATCTTTTATGAAAGTATAAAATGCATTTTCTACCAGTATTTTATTTGTCCAGGTTTGAAACAGCTGATTTTTTTTTTTACTCCTTGGTACTTTACTTGGAGGAGAAGATTATGAAGGTAGACTGAATTTTGTTTAACTTTTATCCTGAATGGCTTTATTAATGCATTAAATTATTTTGTGTGATGAGAAAACCCATGTAGAAACATTTACTTGTCACTTCAGTTTCAGAATTTGCCTTCAGGAGGGTGATGTGCATGTCCCAGTGCAGGGAGGCTGAGCAGGCTGCTTACTCCATTCAGCACAGACATACACCTTCAGCATTAGGTTTCAAGTAACGTTTTTATTTGTTTATGAACTAAATGTAGACACAGAGGAGTGACAAGTCTCTCACATTCTGTAGTTATTCTCCAGTTTCAAGTTTCCCATACAGATCCTAAAAATAAACACAATCTACAGTGTAAACTTGAATTATAGGGATATAAGTTTGATGAATTATCTCACGGAATCAATATGGAATCAGCATTTAGAGCCCTTCCCTGGATAGCTCTCTTTGACTGCATTTTTAAATAGCTTTTGTTCAGTCCTAGAAGAACTGATGATACTGATCAGTGTCCCTGCTTTTTTTCTACCTAAGAAATGATGTTTAGTAGTACAAACTCTGCCTGTATTATAGACATCTGATATATCCATATTGGAAAATTCCTTCAAGTGTGAGCATGCTTCACAAATTTCTTACCTGCAAAGTAATATTTTACAGTTTCTATACAACAACTCATTGCACAGTATCAAAAATAACTGGAATTTGACCTATCCAAACATACCACATGATGGAGTATCCTTGCTTCATTAAAATTATCAGGTTCTTTTGTGTAGTTGCATGCTCCAGACAGCAAAAATAAGTGTGACAGTGTTCTTTGCCTGTTGTTTCAGGGATGTTGCAGTATAAACAGTGAAGTATTCTTAAGCCTCCCGTGTGTTCTTGGAACCAATGGAGTGATGGAAGTTGTCAAACTAGAAGAAGACCCACTGGTGCAAGAGAAACTGCAAAGCAGTGCAGGGTCAATTCATGACCTCCAGCAGCAGCTGAGACTGTAAGCAGCAACCACAAGGGAAGCCTCTGTGTCTGCTCCCCAGCGTTGGAGATTTGCAAGGCTGAAGAGGTTGCTTCATGTATGTGGATTTCTGTATAAAGCAGGAAGCTTTGTTACTTTACTTTCCCAAAGTGTTTTCTCTGTTTTGGTTTAAATAATTTAATTCTGCACCACACAGTTAATTTCTTCATTGAAAAGTGCACTTTTGGTAGCCAAAACAAGGAAGGTAATGTGCAAGAATGCTTTACCTACATTCAGGTAGCACTTGCCTCTGGTTTATGGTTGTTAATGATAGCCTGATTCTTTGGTTAGTCTTAGCTCTTTGCACCTGGTTAGTTTAGGAGAGCAGCTTACCCAGCTCTAGAACCCTTCCTGGTGGATTTTAAGTGCTGCATCAGGGGCTTTTCTGGAATACGGTCACACTCGAGCTCTTCAGGGCACTGAGGGCTGCAGCTGGATAGCTCCACTATTCATGGCTGTTCCAGGTGCTCTGATGTCAATGGGCTGCTGATCACCAAGGGGACCACGATGTTCATAGAATCATAGAATGTTAGGGGTTAGAATGGACTTTAGAGATCATCTAGTCCCAACCGCCTGCCATGGGCCCAGACACCTCCCACTACACCAGATTGCTCAAGGCTTCATCCAGCCTGGCTTTGAACACTGCCAGGGTTGGGCATCTACTACCTCCCTGGGTATGTTAGCAGTATCCTTCAAACCTGAAGTATTGGATGTGGATTTCTGTTGCATGCTTAATGCTTTCTGAAATATTCTGTTCATTACTTGTTTGCTCTTGTTTCCAGAGGACATTCAGAGCCCTAAAGCACCTGCAGTTCACAGTCCATGCATGCAGCACTGGAACAGGGGCTCTCTCCTGAATGGGAAAAGCAGGGACTGGGCTTCAAATAAAGGGTAAAAATCCAGCAGTTATGTAATGCAGAAGTATCTGCACATTCAGGCCTCCATCCACAGCAAGTCAAGGGCAGGGAGCTTTATGTGAGCCTGAGGAGCATACAGCTGTGTGAGAAGGCAGCAGAACCTGAAACCTTCCTCCTCCTTGGGATCCAAAAGCAGGATTTGGATCTTCAGGTTAATTGAAAAAAAGAGATGTTTTGGAGATAAAGGGGTTTTTTGAGTTCGAACCTCTTGATTAGAGGACTAGAGGGAATGGCCATAAGTTCAGACAAGGGAGATTCAGATTAGATGTTAGGAAAAATGTTTTCCCTGTTAGGGTGTTCAGGCACTGGAAGAGGTTGCCCAGGGAGGTGGTGGAGTCACCATCCCTGCGAGTGTTTAAGAGGTGTCAGGATCTGACACAGGAGGATCTGGTTTAGGGTTGAAGGTTACAGCAGAGTGGCAGGTTAATGGTTGGACTCAATGATTGTAGAGTTCTCCTCCAACCTTGATGATTCTATGATTCTCTGCAGTGGTAAGTCTGTTTTCATCCTGATTATACCTCAACATCGCACTGCAGGCAGAGGAGACGTGGGCTCCACTCCTGCTGTATATGCAGATTGGGGGTGTCATTCCATGGTTGTGTTGCAAGGGGTGTCTGGATAAGTATCAATGAAGCTTTCTAAACAGAAGTTGGATCTATTCCTTTGTGCCTTCTAGATATATCTCACAAGGAGCCAAGTCTTGTGAGGAGTTCTGAGTGTATATTGATCTCAGAGCTGAGATAAAAATAGAAAGAAAACCTTCAGTAATTCAGACATTTTTGTGTGGAACACTCCCATTTCCTTCAATGTGGTGGTCAGTGATGTGAAAAAATTAGTGATGGCAGTGGCTAATCAGCTTTGCTGCTATATTTTTAAAAGCAGCCAATGCAGTGGCTGGACTTGGGGGGTCAGGGTGGGTTTTTTCTCTTACTTCGGGGAAAAAAAGCATGAAATTAAGGTTTTACATTGTCCTTCAAGGTGTTGTGTTTCATGTGTTGAGCATTTATTTTCATGCAAACAGTCAAGGTGGTGGTTTTTTGGTGCTTTTCTTAATAGTTCTAGTCTTAAACTGCCACCTCTTCAGGGATGTTTGGTAGATCAATGCTCCTCATCTTGTGTTTGTGTCGTATCCCATGAACAATAACCAAAGAACTATGGCTTCGTCAGTGCAGTGGGAAGTGGCACTTTCATAGAATCACAGAATAATCAGAGTTGGAAGGACCCTTGAGGATCTAGTCCAACTCCTGGCCCTGCACAGAACATCCCTGAGGATCACACCATGTGCCTGAGTGTGTTGTCCAAACACCTATTTGAGCTCTGTCAGACTTGGTGCTGTGACCACTGCCCTGGGGAGCTGTTCCAGTGCCCAAACACCCTCTGGGGGAAAAACCATCTTCTAATATCCATCCTAAACCTCCCCTGACACAGCTTCAGACCATTCTCTCAGGTCCTGTCACTGGTTGCCAAAGAGAAGAGGTCAGAACCCTCCACTTCCTTCAGTGAGGTAGTTGTATACAGTGATGAGGCATCCCCTCAGTCTTCTCCATTCTGAACAGACCAAGTGCTCTCAAACACTCCTTATATGGCTTCCCCTCAAAGCCCTTCACCATCTTCATTGCCTCCTTTGGACACTCTCCAATAACTTAATATGTTTCTTATATTGTGGTGCTCAATACTGCATATAATACTCAAGGTGAGGCTGCACTAGCATAGAGCAGGGCAATCCCCTCCCTTGACCAGCTGCAATACCTTGCCTGATGCCCCTCAGGGCATGGTTGGCCCTCCTGGCTGCCAGGGCACACTGTGACTCATACTCAATTTGTCATCGACAAGGACCCCCAGAGCCCTTTCCATGGCACAACTTTCCAGCCTCTCGTTCCCCAGTCTGTAGGTACAACCAGGGTTCCTCCATCCCAGGTGCAGAATCTGGTACTTGCACTTGCTAAACTTCATACAGTTGGTGATTCCCAGCTCTCCAATTTGTCTAGGTCACTCTGCAAGGCTTCTGTGCCTTCAAGGGAGTCAACAGCTCCTCTCAATTTTGTACTATCTGAGAATTTACTTAATAGTCCTTCAAGTCCTGTATCCAAGTCATTTATGAAGATGCTGAAGAGCTCTGGGCCTGGGATGGAGCCCTGCAGAACCCACCAGTGACCAGTGCCAGCCTGATGTCACCCCTTCACCATAATACTTTGTGCCCGAGCTGTGAGCCAGCTGCTCACCCATCACACAGTCTGTTTGTTCAGAAGGATCCTTATATTCTCTTTGCATTCTTACAAGGAGATTAATCCCCAGAAAGGCCTTTTTAAATAATAAAGTGCAGTGCAAATAATTCTTTTAGATGCTGTGTGAAGCATTTGTGATACACAAGTCCTGCTGGAGCAGGGCCTGGAGGGACACTGCAACGCATTCCAGGTCCGTGAGATCAGGGGGTTAAAGAAACAGGGATCTAAGAGCACAGCTCCCTGATTCTAGGTCAACCCTTTGGAATCACATATTTAACTCCTCCTGTGGCTTTGCAGGAATTAACTTCCTTATACAATCCTAGAATGCACAGAAAGGAAAATAAACATCCCTCAGATTACATTGTTTACAGCTTTGTACCATTTGTACCCTCCTCTTGTCATATGTTACTTCCAAGTAGTTATGTTACCTTCAAAGTTCTTTATTACATTATAAAATTAGCAGAGTAGTGTTAATTGGTGCAGAATCAGCAAGGTAGCTAGATGAACTTATCTAAGACTAACTGGGTAAGGTTCAAAGAGGGAGTTGTTGCAAGGGACAACTACAAAAAATAACCTGATTGTTTTAATGAAACAAGGATACTCCATAATGTGGTATGTTTGGATAGGTCAAATTCCAGTTATTTTTGATACTGTGCAATGGGTTGCTGTAGAGAATGCACCCAAGGACATAAGTTCTTGCACCTGTGAGAGCTCATCTTGGAGCAGTGCAGAGGAACCAGCAGAAGTCAACCAAGACCAATGTAAGGACCTTGTTAAACTGCAAACGAGGTAATGAGCTGAGCCAAGACCATACATATAAGGAAGATTTAATACTTAATGGAAAGGACACTAATGGACATCTTTCCAACAACCACAAAAGGACCACCAGAGACTATCTCAAACCCCCAAGAAGCCACCAACTCAAAAGGGACTAATTAGCACAAGAGGTAAGAGTCAGACCTGCTGCCTGATCTATGTGTAATCAATGATAGAACACTAATTAATACGAGTTAGGTAACTTGTGACCGATGAGCACTAACTCCTTTGCTTTCTGAAATGTAAAACAGCAAAAATCTTGGATAGCTGGGATGCAGCTTGGCGGAGCATCCAGAATAAATCATGCCTGTGCTGAATACTCCATTGGTGTTAAGGGGTTTGATTCCAGATTTTGGTGACATTGGTGCCTATCCTGTTCCCGGTATTTCAATCCCAGTGTCTATCCTGGTGCTGTTTCTGATCCCAGTGCCGTTCCCAACCCCGATCCCAGTGCCTATCCCGGTGCCGTTCCCGATCCCGGTGACGTTCCCAACCCCGATCCCAGGGCCATTTTCCCATCCTAGTGCCGTTTCTGGTGCCATTCCCGACCCTGTTCCCGAACCCAGTGCCACTTCCCATCCCGGTGCCGTTCCCGATTCCAGTGCCATTTCCCATCCCGGTGCCATTCCCGACCCCGTTCCCGATCCCAGTGTCATTTCCGACCCCGGTGCCATTCCCGGCGCCGTTCCCGATTCCAGTGCCATTTCCCGACCCCGTTCCCGGTGCCGTTCCCGATCCCTGTGCCATTTCCGATCCCGGCCCCGTTCCCGATCCCCGTGCCATTTCCCGTTCCCGATCCCGGTGCCATTCCCGGCCCCGTTCCCGCTCGCAGTGCCATTTCCCATTCCCGTTCCCGGCCCCGTTCCCGATCCCG